ATATTTTGCCCATCCATCAGTTGCATCCTTTGACTCTGGAATCAACACTATTCCTCAACTCCTTGGAAGTGTGCGGCAAAATTTATAACCGAATTGATCCCTATCTTTATGATTCGTTGAGAAATGTGGTGCTTGGAATTGAAAAATTCCTAGATCAAAACCCTACCGTAATAGAGCCCACGGATGACTTTATGTTTGTGACACCCAAAGAGTTGGCCGTAATACCAAAGATTTACCATTGCACCTTTTGCAAGAAAAATTTGGGCAGTACGGTTGACAAGGCCGCGATCCATTTGGCAGAACGACACCCAACTGCCAAAACAGTAAATTTGCCAAAGCGTAAGCATACTTTAGTTTCATAAACTTTTTTTTTCATTTTATTTATATAAATAAAGTTCTTGGCTATCTTTTCTTAAAAAATAATAGGAGCGAAGGCGATTGTTGAGAGCGATTTCGGAAAATTTTTCGCCGATCAATTACAAGTAGCAGAGACATTAAAACAAATCCCGGAATATGACGTTATTGAGAATTCGCTGTCGGATATTCTTAAGGAAGTGTTTCCCGACAAAAGCATCGAAATGTATAAATTCGGTTCGCGAATAACTGGTATTGGTACAGAAAATTCGGATCTTGATATATACGTTGATATCGGTAGGAAAAATATTACATTTTGTGTGATGTGTACGTATAACAAATACAATACATTTTCGTTTAGGTGGACGATTCAATGAATTCGAGCATGCTGCCACAGCAGAGACGTTGCAAATCTTCGACCGGGCTTATTACGTTTTTAAAAATAAAACCATAGATTGGCGCTTGAACCATGCTGCTAGAGGTGCACGTATACCCATACTAAAGTTGACTAACACTAGGACTAAAATAAAATGTGATGTTGGTTTTTCCAACAGTATAAGTTATTGCAATAAGCAAATGCTTGAATATATTTTCCAACAACAGCCTATAGGTAATTTCAAAATTTCACGAGTATCTGTTGTAAATTGTCATTAATTCAAAGTTTTTAGCGCGACGAATGTGCATATTCATGAAAAAATGGCTAGAGCTCACAGGACTTAATAGGCGTATAACTACGTACTGTATGTCGTTGATGGTAATTTACTATTTACAGATCAACAATTTTTTGCCCTCAATTGAGACTCTGCAAAAGAATATGTTGGCCAATGTCTTAGTTGGACGTAAGTTAACACAAATAATATGTGACACGCACGTTTATCTCTTAAACATGCATTCAATTTACTATGTATACATACATAATTTTTATATTACAGCATGGATTAGCAACTTTATTGAGATACCCTTAACTGAATTGAAAATGGAAGTTCTTAGCGTCAGCCCATCGAGTTGCAAGCAACACATTAAAGAATTTTTTATATATTATGCTGATTTCGATTATGAATCGCATGTAATATGCCCCTATTTTGGACGTACACATATAAAAATTGAAAATTTTGAAAGCCTAATGCCGGAACGGTAACTTTAAAGCATTTAACGAAAGCTTGGTGTAAATATTTTTTTTTTTGCAGATATACCAATTTTGTACAGAGCAAGAATTCTGCCAAAGATTTTCGCATAGAATTAGATAAGCATATGGTCGTACAGGATCCACTACGAATGAATCATAATGTGGCAGAGCGTGTGACTAAAGTAGATTTGATGGAGTGGCAGCATTTTTTAAAGAAGTCAGCTGTGTTGATAATCGTTGTGAGATCATGGCGCAATAATGACTTAATATATACTAGCAAATATCCGGCGTGCTTTGCGACGCATCGTGAGTAATTTTGCATCAAAATTAAGGAGAAACCGTATTGAAACTCAAATGGGAAAAACCCCTTCAGGGGAAGAATTTTGCCTTTATTAGTATCCATAATTCATCTGGCCGGGAACCCTAGTAAGTTAAGATCTATCTTCACAAATCAGTGCCATATCAGTTCGGTATCATTGCCAATCAGCATCGATCAGTGATACCAATTCACACACATTCGTAGCATGTCGTCCGGTACTTTCATTAAAATGATGTTCATTGAAACCAAGAGGACTTATTTTACTAATGTTTAATTGGCCAGTTTCCTCTCTTAATGTATGCAAATTTGCACAACCTGTTAATCAATTTAAATACTGCTTTTTAATTTTTACTTACCATAATATGGTGTGGCGTAGAACAAATTTGAAATTTGTGTGTTGAATTCTAAAAACTTAAGGCCAAATTCACAGTGCGTAGTTAACTCAGAATCGACAGTTAACTGCAGATTTTAAGTGAATGTATTTTTGCGTTGAAAACGTTTGCAATTTTAAACATTTCACGTGTATATTTTAAACATCTCATGTTCAAAAATGCAGTCTTGAACATCGTATGCGTATACTTACACAAATTTTGTTTGAAAATAAACACTTTTCAGTCGCAGTTTTACATGTAGTTTTTAGAGTGGATAAAAAAAATCGGAACGAACACTGAAGCAGCACTGACAGTAAAAAACGGCACTGTGCCGGACGGTCGGAGCAACTCTATTTGGGACTGGGGCAACGATATTACCCCCCTATTATGAATTCGTACGATGCACGATAGACGCTTGCATTCTGTAATTCTGTATTACGAATCGATGTTGTATGAAATCCGATAATTGGCGTAGCTGATTTGTGCTGGTTCACAATAAAAAGTGATCAAAAACCACAGCCATTCACAACAATACATCTGTCGGGCGTATGAAAACGATAATACCAGAACTGATTTCGTACGATACGCTTGCAAGCGTTTATCGTCTGTCGTATGAAAATTCATAATAGGGGGGTATGATTTTCACTGATAGGTATGGCGCTGATATGTATAGATAACTTTTATTGTAAAAATCACCTATATAATTGATTTTAGGTCGATAAATTAACGCAGATCTAATTCCGATTGCAGGCATCGTTCCTATTCGTGCCGCCGCTACTATTCTCCGATTACGGGCCATTGCCCTTGCGGCTCTCGTTTGTCTTGACAAATTTCTTTTAGCTTTAGGCATTTTTAAACACTTCGCACAATTCTGTTATTTTAAAGATTTGTTTTTTTTTATTTAGTAACGAAATTCCACTTTGTATAAGCCAAAACACTCAGCATTTAACGCGCTTGCTAATTTAACAACTTCGCGAAAACAATGTGCCGAATTCCCATGAAACCCAACAAATAGGCATACATATGTACATCATTGATTTGCTGTTGTTTGTGCATGCCACTACAGCGTTGGAAAAATGGAATTCGGCTAGACCGAGGCAGGATTCCCATAAAAAACAGCCCTAAAGTACTTAACCATATCAATTCTAATTTGAACATAGTTATGCACATATGTACCTATGCATGTATTCAAGTCTAACGCAATTGATTGCATGTTGATTTGTTGAAGTTGAGTTTTGTTTTGTGCAGAATTTGCATGAAGCGAAACAGATCTTTCTTTGCTGTTACACCAAGAAGCTTACAGTGAGCATACTGTGGTGGGCATGTGCCGATATCGCAGCAAGCAGGGGGGCTACTCTGCAGTGTTGCCAGAATTTTTGTATAGCGCATCCCCATATCGAGCCGCCCAAAAAATCCCCATTTTTCTTCTAAATCCCCATTTAAATCCCCTTAAGTAAGAAAAAAAAAAATGTATTCTCATTTCTGTTACTTCGTTTTAATTACAGTTTTGAATACTTTTATATTACAAATTTTCATAGTTGTATATGTGTAGATACCTATATATGAGATAATTTGGTTATTTACGTATAGCGGTTTCTTATTTTTTGTGGTTTTTGGAGACTATTTAACAACATACCTTCGGCCCAAGGTTCCTATTCCTATTGCTGTCTGTAAGTTCGTCAATTTTTTTTGTGCGCTTGCCACTTTGTAAAATTCTTTTTACACTAAGGAAATCAGAAATATATGCAGTCCATTCGGTAAATGCCAATCACAGCGATCCTTTTACAATTTGGTGTAATGAAGTGAGAGAAAATTGTGTGCTCAGCGAAAGCCATTAAAACAGGCATTTTCCACGAATAATACTTTGACAAAGAAAATCTTTGTTTGAGAAATTTTTAAGGGCAGGCAGTAAGACATATCGCTAGCTTAGAAAGAAAAGTTGCTAAGTCCCATTTTAAAAATTTTACAGGAGAGGAAAAAATCTTCCTATAGCCATTTTCTTTAACTATTTCACAAGACTTTGAATCAAACATTTTGCGCGTTTAAAGCAAAGCAAAACTCCATAAGAATCAGAAGGATTCGATATTTATTAAAAGATGTCGTATTATTTTGGCCTTATTGGATTTGTGGTGCTTCTTTTGGACTTAGCAAATTTTCCTTTTATTACTTATGAAGAGGAAAAAATAAAACAAATACCTTTATAATTTTCGAAACGATGCGTATTCAATTTCTTTAGCCTCCTATATCAAAATATGAGTTTTCATAAAAAGTGGACTTAGCAACTTTTCACTCTAAGCTAGCGATATGTATTTTAATTTCAATATGAATATTTTATACCAAACAAAAATCCCCATCAAATCCCCACATCCCCAAACGAAAAAATCTATCCCCATTTCAGAAATCCCCAAAATGGGGCGAAATCCGCACATCTGGCAACTCTGCTACTCTGTAATGCGATGTGAAAGAGAAATGCGATACGATAGGCAAATACGCCGTAAGTAATACGCTGCGGCGATTGCCGATCGCATCGCATTTATTTTTCGCATCGCATTACAGAGTAGCCCCCCCTGCAAAAATCGCGACTACTCCATGCATGCGTGTAAAGAGTACTCCCTAAGGACCAAGGAGTACTCCAAAATTAACCACAATTCATATAAAAAATATGGTCCAATTAACATTGCGATGTCCTAGGGCAGGACCATATACTCCATCCCCGCATTACATCAGAGTAGCACAAAACTACTCCAACATAATAACAATAGCATTGTTGCTATGTTTTTTCGTTTGTACACGCTTTTGTTCTTCACTTCTCAAATACTTTTTCGAAATTAATAAAAACCAAGACAAAAATTAAAAATTATATGTTGCCTCTGACGGTATTCGAACCCGAACATGCTGGGAGCTAAGAACTAACAGCGAGCATCTCTACACGTTCAGCTACAGCCAGACATGCAAATGTGCTTTCAAATGCTCAACTTCAATCACGTGATTCAGTGATCGGATAACAAACAATAAGCTAGCGCAGAGACACCAGTTGGTCCGCTACAGCATGACAGAGGAACACTTTTGTAAGTACTCCAATTTACCACAAATAGACTACATGATCCAACGATTTTTGCAGGGCCCCCAGCATTTTGAAGTAAAAAAAAAAAACAGTTGTCAAGCGAAATACATGATGGACAGTGTTTGTTTGTTTTGAACGCAGCGCTGCTTGTACATACATAAATTTCGCTTTGGGCGCAGCGCTGCTTGTATATAAATTTCGCTTTGGGCATGCTTGAAGCTGGCAAAGGTTCTTTTATAAAAGGTAGGGTGGCCAGATATTATAGTACAGTTGGGATCAGTACAAAGCCATACAAATCTGCTCATTTTTAAGTGTATTTTTTATTATTAACAACAGACAGAAGGCATACCCTCCATTGTCGTCTTAAATAACCTGACGAAAGCGTTATACCGGGAAGAAGTCCCTGCAGTTCGATGGTGAATCGTCCTTGAATCTGTATAGTATAGTTGGTGGAAATTTCCAAACTGGTAATTTGACTTCGATCCCTGGTGCTTCCGAAATGACGATTTTTAGCAATAACTCAGCGCTCCAGCGCCACCTTGTGCATCTTGTTTTGCAATAGTATTGGCCCTATCGTACTAATACATATACAGCGTGGCGACGAAGAACTGTTACCCAGATTTTTTTGAGAAATAAAAGGAACCTTTATAGATTTTGCGAAAAAGGTATTTTATTGTTAATTTTCCACAGATTTTACTTTAGTTGTATTAATTAATTTTTAAATTTTAATCCTTATCTACATTTGCCAGCAGTGTAAACTTTGAGAGCAGGGTTCGGATTTGCCTCATTTTAGCCCCTCGCTCGCTCGTTAGTTTGCTCTGAGCTAGCGCAACACACGAGCAACACGCGAGGCTGTTTGCAAATGAGCACTCGTTAAGTAGGAGCGCACGCGCTGAGCAGCCAGCGAGCGAGTAAGCAAACGAGGGCAGCGCAAGAGTAGAGCGGCAAGCAAACGAGGGCCTCATTAGCTCTGCCCTCGCGAGGGCGTCGTTGCGAGCGAGGCCAGGGTTGCCACTGACGAAAAAAAAATGTACCATCCAATTGAAAAAAATCTACCAAATCTGGGAAATATCTACCAATAACTTGTTTATAATTTTTTTAACAAAAACCATAGTTTTGTTATTTTTTTTATTTATTTTAATTAAAACTATAAATTTTTTTTTATTTTTTTTTTTAGTTATTTCAATAAGAATTAAAATTGTTTTTAAGAACTTTTTATTTCATTAGTTATACGGTATTTGCGTCATATTGACATATTCTCAGTTTCCTTCAACTAAAAGCGGGAGTGAAGAAACTAAAGGTAACAATGAAACTTCATTATTTGAAAAACTTCAACTCGAGTTATTATAGACAAATACTGTGACTCAAAAAAGTGATTTTTTTTAATATTCGCAATAGTTTTCGAGTAAAAATTTGTTATTGCTTCAATTAAATCCAAAAAAATTGAGGATTCAAACTATATACAACATATAGAAAAATTCCAAAAATTTTCGTCTAAATTTCGAATTTTTTACTCTGAATTTTTAGAACAATTTAAGGTAGGGAGTTTTAAAGCACATACTATTTGAATATAGCCGACAAAGTGCTGCTTAAAATTTCCGTTGATTTTTATTTATTTATTTTTTTCATTAATAAAAAATGGCGTTGATTTATTTTTTTTTTGCGAACAATCATAGTGCGTAATTACATACCTGTCAATTTTTTCATTTAAAATATTTAGACAATCAAAAGCTCCTCGGGATTCCAGTAAAATCCCAGGAAAATGGAGCGCGATATGTTCGCCTTATATCGATATACATTTATACGTATGTAATTATATAAAAAGTATGCAAAGCAATTTATAATATATTTAAAGATAACTACGAAAAATAAATCGGGAACGGAAAGTTCATCAAAAATCTACCAAAATGAGAAAAAATTTACCTTTTTACCAACACAAATTTTTTCTACCAATTTTGGTAATAATTTACCAAAGTGGCAACCCTGAGCGAGGCACTCATTTGCAGCAGCAGACGAGCGAGGCAAATGAGGCAAGCAGATTAGACAGGCAAACGCGTTGTTTGGTCGGCAAAAATGTATGGGATAAAAAATTGCAGCAACTAAGAATTTCGAGTAAAGAATTGTATGCACGCATGCAGATATGTCTATTACATACTGACACTCTTCGGCATTTTTTCCCATACAAAAAAAA